CTATCTATCTATCTATCTATCTATCTATCTATCTATCTATCTATCTATCTATCTACGTGTATATATATATATATATGTATATGCTCATACATATTTATTCTTGATGTTTCCTAGTTTGGTTTTTTTCTTTCAATCTTGGTTGGAAGTTCATCACTTTGGCTCTCCTTCGCTCGGGAAACTGCACACACAGCAGCTCATTGACAAGTTAATTTCACCCCAAGGAGGACCACGGCTGGCTGGTGATCACGCAAAGCGATTTCTCTGCTGTCGGGGCCAATGATGAAGTCGTAGAAGAAACATTCCCTCTCCCCACCCCCACTCCCAGTGGCTAACGGTTTCGTTCCCAAACGCATGCAGTGGAATTTTCTGGAGACTCAGAGAAGAGCAGGTGCTGATTCTCAAGAATGTGTGTGTGTGTGAGAGACAGAGAGAGAGAGAGAGGGAGACAGAGATAGAGAAGGTGGGAGAGATAGAGGTAGAAGGAGAGGGAGAGAGAGATGGAGAGAGAAAGGGGGAACAAGAGGAGAGAGAAAAAGAGAGGAAAGAGAGAAAGTAGGGAGGGAGGAGTCTATATAAATATTATAAAATATATTCTATCATAACATATATACCAAAATATCAACACGTAAAAACATATAAAGATGACATTTTATACATAAATATATGTACACACTTAACGTATATATTTACGGATATAGATTGATGTAGGCGTCTAGAGTTACGTGAGCAGATAAAATGTATATTCTACACGCAAATAAGTGTGTCAATAATACGTCTGCGTGAAATAGATGCAAATGTGTGTGTGTGTATGTGTGTGTGTGTGTGTGTGAATGAAGTGCGTGTCTATTTTACTGTCTAGAGGAGCAGCATGTTGAAGGAAGATGGAAAGTTCTAGCAAAGCAGAACTTGCACAGAAGCACAGTCAAGGCACAAGCGTGGAGAAATTAGCAACAGAGTGGCTTTTTTTTTTTTTTAAATACTCTGGCCCTGAGGGTGGAGAGGCGGCGTGGGAAGCAGAGGAAAAGGCCAAGCCGTGTGCGGGAAAGCCAGGCGTTTTAATTAGGAGCTACTTAGCACCTCCATGTCAGCAGGATGGCCGCAGGGACCAGGCCGATACCTGGGTGTGCAGCAGGCGATCCACCTGGACGTGGAATCTTCTGAGAGCCGTGCAGAGACGCTGTCTGAAAAGAAAAGACGATTGGTCAGAAGGAGCAGGGGTCTCGATAATGACCTTGAATATCCGGAGGGGTCGCAGCTGCGTTCACCCTTCTCCGTTTGTGCGATCCTAATCATTTTCCAGGGAGTTCCAGAAGGAATTTCAAGGAAGAGAGAGAGGCAGAGAGAGGGAGAGGGAGGGAGGTTGGGAGAGAGAGACAGAGAGACAGAGAGACAGAGAGTGTGTATGGACTTCAGTCCTACGGCGCTCAGTCACACACGCACAGCCCAAAGTTTACAAGGAGAAAAGCCCTGGCAAAAGGAGAGACCATTCAGACCAGGGAGAGATTGTTCCAGAAGGCGTGAGGAGTTCTTCAAATGCAGCCAATGCACTGAGAGCTGCGGGGAGGAGAATGATTGCCAGAGGGAAGCGTCCAGGAGAAAGCACCAGGCCGGGCCGGGCTGTGGCTCAGGGAAGTGGCTTGTGTAGCAGGTGCATCGTCCTGGGTGCCATCCCCAGGACCGGAAAAAGAAAAAGAAAGAGAAAGGAAAAGAAAAAGAAAAAGACAAGACACACACACTTATAACAGATATGCCATATATATACAACACTATATAAAACTAGATATGAAATTAAACTGTCCATAAAACTGTATATAACTACATATAGGTATATAACTATAATATATAACTGAATACAACATATAACTATATATAATAACTAGATATACTATATAACTAAATGTAACTATATAACTATATATAACATATAACTCTATATAACTATAATAACTATATGTAACTCTATATAAGTATATAACTCTATGTAACTATATGTACCTGTATAACTATATATAAAATATAACTATATAGAATAACTATATATAACTGTATAACTATATATAACATATAACTCTATATAACTATAATAACTATATGTAACTCTATATAAGTATATAACTCTATGTAACTCTGTATAACTATATATAAAATATAACTATATAGAATAACTATATATAACTGTATAACTATATATAACATATAACTCTATATAACTATAATAACTACATGTAACTCTATATAAGTATATAACTCTATATAACTATATGTACCTGTATAACTATATATAAAATATAACTATATATAATAACTATATATAACTATATAACTATATGTAAATGTATAACTATACATAACATACATATAACTATATATAACTGTATAACTATATATAACATAACTACATATAACTATAATAATAACTATATAACCCTATATATTTATATTATATATAATTACTATATATTATATATAATTATCTATTATATGTATTATATACGTGTGTGTGTGTGTGTGTGTGTGTGTGTGTAAGTGCAGTGGCTTCTCTGGACCCCGAGGAAGCTGGGATTCTTGCAGCCGGCGCCCCATCGCTATGAGCTGGGCTTTGAAAATTCACTCCCAGAAGGTGGACTTGGAATAGAATGAAATGTAAAATGCCACACCTGGACATGGTCCCGCTGGGCGAATGTTCTAGAAGCTGGCTGGTGTGGAAACGGTGGCGGTCATCCTCGGGCTGTGGACAGAACAGGACGGTGAATGCCCCAAACAGGGTGTGGGTCCCTAGGACTGCGATCCCCCTGTTCCCCACAGGACTGCGATCCCCCTGTTCACTGCACTGTGGACAGTGATCCCCCTGTTCACTGTCTCATCCACCGCCCCAGACACATGAGAGTCCTTGGGGAAAGTGAGGACTGAGCCCAGGGCCACTGGCAAAGCTGCTTCTCCTCCTCCCTCCTTCCTCCTCTTCCTTCCTCCCTCCTCCTCCCCCTCCTCCCGGCTCCTTTGCACTTAGGCCAGTTCAGCACTAAGCCTTGGTACTTCTCCACTTGGGCCAGTGGGCACATGGGGGGTTTTCCCACCCCCGGCCGTGTGTCCCATGAAGGGCCTGGCCTCGTGTGTCCCCATGGGACAGCTGGCCTTTGGCGGAGGTCATACTGTGCTGAGTGACCAGGGTCGCACAGCTTATATCCCAGGAGCGATCAGCTCAGCGCTCTGTCTGTCTCTGTCTCTGCTTCTCTCTGTCTCTGTCTCTCTTTGTTTCTGTCTCCGTCTCTCTGTGTCTGTATCTCTGTCTCTGTGTCTCTGTGTCTCTCTCTCACACACAATGTTGACCAATTACCTTAGAGCTCATGTCGCAAACCTTTGCAGGGCGCATGGAAATGTAGGCACATCTCCCGCTCACTGGAAGGCCCCCGTCTGAACTCTGGGGCTTCTCCCCACGTCCAAACTCCCCTCCTCCTCTGGACCTCCATGATTCCTACCCTGGGAATGAATGCAGCCTTCCTCCCCAGAATCATGTCTTCACCCCAACCCCACGTCTCCCACAGCATCGCCACGAGTGGGCGGAACAGACACGTGAAATCCCGAGACACAGAACACAGGTGCAACCTCAGGCCTTTGTTTCTTTATATTCATTCATCTGTTTGCTTCGTTATCTGTCAGTCCTGGGGCTTGAACTTGAGACCCGGGCGCCGTCCCTGAGCTCTTTCACTCAAGGCTGGTGCTCTACCCCTTGAGCCAAAGCACCACTTCTGGGTTTTTTGGTGGTTCATTGGAGATCAGAGTCTCACAGACTTTCCTGCCCGGACTGGCCTTGAACCACGATCCTCTAGATCTCAGCCTCCTGAGTAGCTGGGATGACAGGCGTGAGCCACCAGCATTTGGAATTCCATGGACAGGAGGCTGAAACGTTGGTGATTTGGGAATTACCAAATTGTGCAACGCACAAATCAGACTAACATCCTTTCTCCTCCCCGCTGCATTCCGTCTGCCACGAAATGCAATGATTCCAGCTTGTATTTAGGCGGGTTTCTTTTTTCGGTCACAGTGAGAGCGATCGGAAGGATCTCACACGTCCCCACGCCGAAGGTATTCATTGCACACTTGATAATCTTGCTATTTATTTACTATCTCCTGCAGATTTCCACCCCCCCACCCCCCCTGCTCCGGGGACTAGAAGCCATCAAGAATGACAAAGGCAGAGAGACATCCATGCAAGTGATATTTCTAAACAACTCTCTCTTGGTCTCAGTCTCATTTCCCTGTCATTGTATTGTCACACACGTTTTCTTTTAAATGATGAAACACCTTAGATTGGGTTAAAAAACCATCTATCCCACACTAGAAGTCTGTTATCAGAGAGAGATGACAGGCTGGGAACACATATAATGTATATATGTATCTATATAATATGTATATATAATATATACAATATGTATATATAATATAATATGCATATATAATATATACATATAATATGTATATATAGTCACACACACATATATAATATGTATATAAATATATAGTCACACACACGTATATATATATATATATTGCTTAAAGCAGATAACTGGAGGATATTGCAGATAAAAAACAGAACTTCCAGAATATCAAAAGCTCACCCCATTCTGCATAATTTAGGGTTCCAGGGTATGCTGGGGGATCTCACACCAGGGAATAAAATCTGCCCAGAACGCAGATGCTTCACTAGGCAGCTTGATCTCCTGCGGTGTGACCATGTGAATGCTGACCGATGACCTATGACCGGGTCAGGTCTGTGGACGCAGCCCAGGGCCCGTGGGTTCTCCCCTCCCGTGAACCTCTCGGTGGATTTGTTTCTGCACAGCCCCTGGCCTCCGTCGGGCCTGGGCGGTTGTGTTTCCTGATCTGCCGTGGCTGTGGGGCTGGGCACGTGCAGCGTGTTATTACCCAGCCTGGGCTGTGCACAGACACACGCGTGTGCATGCGCGTGCTTCGGACCTCACCCAGCTCTGCTGGTCCTGAGCGACCAGGTTTGAGATCAGCGGGAAGATGCTCTCCTCTTGTGCTAGCTACAGCCCCCTTCTTAATCCTCCTCCTCCCCCTCCCCCTCCCCTTCCTCCTCCTTCCCCTCCCCCTGCCC